CAGAAAAATCAATAACTACTTGATTTTTATTTTCTTCTCCTTCAAGTATTGAATTAGGATCTTTAATTGTAAAATCATATACTTTACCTTTTGAACTTATTGAATTAGCCATTGTTGCATACAATATTAACAATGATAGTTGTGACATGGTGTTTATCAATCTTAAGTTAAAATCAGTTAGTTCAAATGGCAATCTAAATAGTCTAAATAAGTAAGTTGATAATGAATAGATAACTAACGTTAATGAGATTGTCTTAGAATTATTTATAAGTCTTCTATTCATTAATATGTTTATCAATAAAAAGAATGCAATTACAATACATTCAATTCCATAAGTAATCTGTAAAGCTAATTTTAAGGTAGCACTAAACTTAGTTAAACCATCTAAATAGATAAAAAGTATAATTCTAAAGAATCCATAAGCCATACATATTGCTATATTATTCATTATAAAAACACTACTGATTAGTAAAATTTCACTTATTGATTTCAATGTCTTTATTATGCTGTCTACTTGAAAAGTGTTATCTAAAATACTTATTGTATTTGAGAAATTTCTATAATTAGAAAAAATATAATTTCCAATTAGCGAAGTTAACTGCTATCATTAAAGTATACTTAGTTAATTTATTACCTGTCTTTGATTTAAGCATTTGATTGCACATGTAGAGAAATACAATACCTATTTCTATAAAATGTCTTATTTCTGCAATTATCATAAAGTTTATTTTTAAATATTTTTTTATTTCCTTTTTGAAACAAAAAATCAATTTTAGAAAAATTTGATCAATTAAAAAAATACTTATAAATCGAACTTTAATAAATATCGATCAAGTTTAGTTTGTTTTTTGATAGCTTTTTTTAACTTTCTTGCCATTCTATCTGAATCTATGTCACCTAATTTAGCTGCTATTCTGTACCACCATAGCGCTTGTAGTAAATCTTGGTTTGTTCCTATTCCAAGACTTAAACATTTGGCTGTATAAATAATTCCAGGTAAACATCCTTGTATTGCAGATTTTTCAAGCATCTTAAATCCAATCTCTACATGTTTTTTTCTATATTGACTTCTGTCCCCCATAAAGAATGCTGCTCTAAGTAGTATGAGACTTATCTTGACCATTGCATCTGGATGTCCTAAACTAGCTGCTCTCTTAAATAAACAAAATGATTTAACACTATCCTTTTTAACATAGATTCCATCTTCATAATATTGAGCTGCTGCATATGATGAATCTTTACAGTTTAATTGAGAGCCCTGTTCAAATACTTTAAGAGCATATATGTGATCTTTTATTATATCAGGATGATCTACTCTATAGAGACAACCAAGATGATAAAAAGGTTTTATGAAAATATTCCCACCTGTAGGAAAACCAGATGTTTGTCTAATAATTGATTGTCTCATAAAACTAATAGCCACTCCAACTTGCCCCTTTGCCAAAAGTATAACAGAATATTTATAAAGTGTTCTTGGATATCTTAATTTGGATGCAGCCCTATAAAATTCTATAGATATTTTTTCATTGGT